AGATCTTCAGCCTCCCATAATCATCTGCCTCTCCTGATTCAGTAAGTAATTCCAAGTTTTGATAGATATGATGCGTATTTTTGATATGATTGAGGTGGTGGTGTTTTTAATGAGGAGTAGGGGGGGGGGGGGGGGGGGGNGTGTGGTTGTATAATTTCATCATAGCCTTGCAGCTCCATTATTACTGATAATACCAACTCTAACTCTGTGCAGACTTGAATCTTGATGGCCAATGGTTGAGAGAGGGAGCAACATTATTGTTTTGTGTTAATAATATGGCATCATAATCACACTCACCAACTTTTGTTTCACAATATGGAGCCATCATTTCTGGTCCCATTCGAAATTAACTCATCTGGTTTTGTTGTTTGTGAAATCCAAATCCAAATCCAAATCCAAATCCAAATCCGAGATAACAGACGATGTAATGGGTTCAAAATGGCAGTGGAGTTTTTCAAAAGCTGAAAGGAGAAAGCAAGAGCCACACCAATTTGGACTGCGTCTGTGTTAGAGCAGGCAGATTGGGATTGAGCAATGATTATCCCATCCACCATCAGCTACCCAGTTCTTAAGATCGACGAAATTAAGGTTAAGGAACCCTAAATGTCCCAACTTTTTTCTGTTCTTGGGGTTGTTTTCAGTGGAAGAAAAAAAGGTTAGAAATTTATGAGATGGGATGCACGTTGTGATCCCGACACCAATCTTGGGTGACTCGCTGCATCTTGCCGCCACACATATATATCATATATGCTTGCTTTCGCATAATATCTTCGAAGGAATCTCCTCCTTTCAAACCTCCATCTTCTTCTTCCCCCCTTACCTTACCTGCCAATCTCCTTCCCTTTTCTAACCCTAATTATATATATATATATATATATATATATATATATATATATATATATATATATAATTTGATTATTAACCGCTCAAACTCATACCAAACTGATATTCTCTGCTTTTGTTCGTATGTTCATTAGTCTCATAATTTTAAAAGATTTTTATCAAGAGAGGTCTATACTACAGCGTTATAAAGCTTCATCGCTCTCGTATCATTTATAATGACTGTTTACTTGGAGGAGCACTGTTACATTATTACATTGTTTTTATTAACTAAAAGAGAAATTAACAAAAAGATATAATTAATTTAATTTCATTTTAATATGAGCACTGCCATTTATTCCCATTAATTTTATTCCACGGTGGTTGTGTGTGTGTGTGTGTGGGAGAATCAAAGACACGTGTTGCTTTTAAATGATTGGGCCGGATCTGGATTGTCCGTGATCATGGGCCAGAGCTATTGGACTAGGGCCCACAATGATGACGCCCTATGGCTCCGTTTGGGCCCAAGAGAGACGCGCGAAGTTGCCCCTCGCTGAGACTGAGACGGTGAGTGAGGCGAGGCGAGACCCCTTCTGCGTTGTGGATAAGCAATGAATAGCACAACTTTCGTCTGTAATCCTATGCACGCTCTGCCATTATTACCCTCCTCTCAGTTGCTGTTTCCTAATAACGCCATCAATTTCAGGCATGGGATCTCCATTCCTGTAAAACCCACTTCTCAGGGTTCGTGTAGATGGCGAATCCGAGCCACTGCCGAAAACGGAGCTTCATCGGCGTCGACCTCGCAGATCGACATGGTGAGGAACAGGGAGGGGGTTTTTACCGCCAAACAAAGCAAGGTTGTTGTGCTTTGGGATCTCGATAATAAGCCCCCTCGTGGGCCGCCATACGAGGCGGCTATGGCGCTGAAACGAGTGGCGCAACGCTTCGGCCAAGTGGTCGACATGTCGGCTTACGCCAATCGCCACGCTTTTATCCATTTGCCGCAATGGGTTGTTGAAGAACGCCGCGAGCGCCGGCAATTGGACATTCTTGAGCGCAAAGGGTTGTTCACGCCGTCCGAATCTTACGTCTGCGGGGTCTGCGGTCGCAAGTGCAAAACAAACCTAGACCTCAAGAAGCATTTCAAGCAACTTCATGAACGCGAGCGCCAGAAGAAATTGAACAGAATGAGGTCTCTCAAGGGCAAAAAGCGGCAGCGTTATAAGGAAAAGTTCGTATCTGGGAACCACAAGTACAATGAAGCGGCCAGGTCTCTGATTACTCCGAAAGTTGGGTATGGGCTGGCCTCAGAATTGAGACGTGCTGGGGTTTTTGTGAAGACAGTGGAGGATAAGCCACAGGCGGCTGATTGGGCTTTGAAGAGGCAGATGCAACACTCGATGAGTCGTGGTATTGATTGGATGTTTCTTGTTTCCGATGATTCGGATTTTTCAGAGATGTTAAGGAAGGCTAAGGAGGCTAATTTGGGAACTGTGGTGGTGGGAGATCGTGATAAAGCACTGGGTAGGCACGCAGATTTATGGGTCCCATGGATGGGGGTTGAAAATGGGGATGTTACAGAGGAGGATTTGGTGCCCAAAAGATGGAGGACGAGGAGAACCCAAGAGGATTTGGATGAAGACGATGGTTTTTCAGTTTCTCGTTATTATGGAGAGGCTGAAAGTGGTAGTGATTTGGAGAGTGTAGTGCAAGAGCTTGCTTCCGCCAGTACAGAGTTCAATGGCTTTAGAATTTCTGCTTTCTCAGAGGGGGAAGATGATGATGAATGGGTTGAAGACGATGATGTGGCATCTGACTATCTGCTAGAGATGAGTGACGAGGAAGATGGGTTTTTTCTGATGGACATTTAATTTGTAAACTGTACAATTTTAGTGAAGCTCATTCATTGTGAAGGATTTTTATTTTAATGGTGAAGTTGATGCTGTCCTGGTTGCATCACCTGTTCATAATCCAGCGCCGCGCCCCAATCTTCCAATCCCAGCCGTGTGGCTACTTGGCATCCACACTTGAAGGTTCAAAGTTTCCATTACCAACATTTACCTTGTTTCCAATATGTGTGTGTAATGTAAAATGGATGGAATGCTCTGTTTGTCCAAGATGATTTGATATGTTGTGAAATGATCTTCCATCTAATATAAAAATCATATGGGTGTTCCTGTTGAACTGGGGGCCGCTGCATATGCTCCAAATTTAGCTTTCTGTCATCTCTTTGGCACTTGCGGTGTGGTAGTGATGACTTTGTGTTGGACCTAATCCAGTTTTGACTAGAAGAGTTGCTCTTTCAATTTTCAACTGCTCTGGTTTGGCCTATAGAGGCTAGATTTAATTAGCAAGGCAGATACAGATGTATTAGGGGAGCCGTCGCCATTTTGGCGAAAAAGAAAGGATTTTTTTTTTTCTTCTTTTTTGTTTGTGGTGAAAGGGTTTAGATGTGGATGGATCTCTTCGCCCATTTGTCAAACATCAGCATCATATATTTGGTGTTTACAATGGCGACAGAGCAGAAGTATTGCTTAATGCTTACAGCAGCATAAGAATTGTTTTATTTCATGTGAAAGAAGAGAGAGAAGCAGTAGCTCCTGATTGGGGAAGAAGGGCAATCAAAGGTGGAAATTCAGGATGGCATTGAGTCTCATTTGTTTGAAATGCGAGTAATGATTGATAGTTATCCAAAATTTTGAAAGCGAGACTGGAAGAGGGAAGATTGACGAGAAAGAATGAGAAGCGGGCAAGGGAAAGAAGTGGGGTCGTGTGCCGTCGGGGGTGTTGGTCCAAAAAGTCTGCCTCTTTTGGGAGCGTGGAGTGCGTCGAACGGCGCCATTTTATTGGATTCGGGAGAGAACTGTGAAAGGGGGAAGTGGGTGTCGGCATCGAGAACTTGAAGAGATGGAAGGGATTTGGAATTGGTATTGGCATTGGAAGCATCTAACCGGTAAAAGTCACCGTCGTCTATGTCTGGTCAAGAGGTCGGATGATTAGGAGCCCTAATTGCCATCCACCATCTATCTGGTTCTGGTGCCATCACATTTTACTCCTACACCTTCCCTTCCTTTATCCAACTTCCGTACGAATGCCATTTGTACTAGCAGTGGGCTTAGATTGTTTTAATCGATATAAGAGCTAGACATGAAATAAAATAAAAGGAAAGTAAGATATTAAAACTAAATAATTGATAGGGTTGTAAATGGTAAGAAAACAAGATAAAAAGTGAGGGAGGAAGCAAGGCAATGGGCATCCCCTTTTCCACTCGGTAATCGGTGTTTAATTAGTTTAATCATGAGATTAGGCGGTGAATAAAGCATTAATTAAAGATAATTATGAGAGAGTTTTGAAAACACCGTCTCTATTCTCATTACCTATTGTCAAACAAGTGCTTCAACGTAATACGTCGTGGGTTAGGCACCCGAATCTGGAAAATAATATTAACATTTCAGTACTAAAATTAATGACGCCCCCACTAAATAAACCCTTTCTTTTTTTTTCATTTTTTATATCTTTACTACAAACCCCTTTCCCATTCTTCAAATTTATTCATTTTTTTTACAACGTGCTTTAATTTAATGTTTGAATTTCAATCATTTTTTTATGAATAAAAAAAGACACATCACATCCTTTCAATTAAAATTAGGTATGGGAATCCAGGTCGGCTCTCGCACGCTCACAAACTGCTACGTGGATTTTTATTTTGGGTAATTGTCTCCCAGCCGTTCGGTGAATGTTACTTCCCACCTTATGTTTATTATATTATACGAATTCCAATCATCTTCATATCCCCCATATGCTTATAATATGCATTATTACTATTATTTTTGTAATTATTGTTGTTGTTATTATTATTGGGGCTTTATTTTGATGCAATCAAGTAAGAGTGAGTAATTAAGAGCACACCCCCAAATAATAATAATAATAATCATAATAATAATAATGGTAGTAATGATAAAGAAATAGATAAATATAAAGAAGGCGAGAAGAGAGAAATAAAGGGAAGTTTATAACCGGTGATAAAGTATGTCGGCCGAAGTTGGATTTGTCTTGAAGGAAGATCAACGTGGTGGCCGTGCCCAGTCGACACACAAGCAGCCAAGTAGGAAACAATTTCGGCCCTTCCTTTCATCCTCTCTCTCTCTCTCTCTCTCTCTATATATATATATTATATACACACCCCAATCCCAAACCCCCAACCCATGTCTTAACTACAGCGCCACCATCTTTTTTGGCTCACTCCGGCTGCCCCTCCTCTTGTTTTCATACACCCGATTCAGACCAAAATCGGAACCGCAACTCTCATACGATTATTAGAACAACTGATACAAAATCTCAATTTTTTGTCCGCCTGAGATGGACGGAGAAGTTTGCTCCGCCGTAGATTCATCACCGACGGCGACAGAGAAGAGGAAGCAAAGGCATCAGAATCAGCTTCAAAAAGAAAGGCCTTACAGAGGAATAAGGATGAGGAAGTGGGGGAAGTGGGTTGCCGAAATCAGAGAACCCAACAAGCGCTCCAGGATTTGGCTTGGTTCCTACACAACCCCCCTCGCCGCCGCTAGAGCTTACGACACCGCCGTCTTCTACCTACGAGGCCCTACTGCCCGCCTTAACTTCCCCGAATTGATGTTCGAGGAAGACCAGCTTCACGACATGTCGGCCGCCTCCATACGCAAACGAGCCACCGAAGTCGGCGCTAGGGTTGACGCTATCGAAATCTCCCTCCACGCCTCGAGCTCAAACTCAAACTCCAACTCCAATTCCAGTACTCACACTTCCGAGAAGCCGGATTTAAACGAGTACCCAAGCCCCGAAAGCTCCGACCACGATTAATCCCTCATACCTTCATTTTATATCGCTACCGGAAAACCAAAATTACGAAAAGGGCCAAGCTTATTACAGGTAAGATCATCAAAACAAAAAAAAAAAAAAAAAAAAAACGGAA